AAGCAATGGTTGAATCAGGACGCATGGGGCAGAGCAGCTGGGGTGCTTCCGGGTTGGTCCAGTAGCGCCCAGAGCGGCACTGCAGGACCAACCGGCAGCGCCCCAGGAGAGGGGCCCCAGGGACCACAACAAAAGCCTGGTCTGCTGCGGGGGGGGAGGGGAGGGCGCAGCTAGTGCGCCCTCCCCCCCCCAGCAGACCAGGGACACGGGGAGCAAAGCCGCAGCAGCGGAGGGGTGCCGCGCCTCTGAGGCTTTGCCAGAGCAAAGCCTCAGAGGCGCGAGACCCCTCCGCCTTCCCGGCTTTGCTCCAGGTGTCCCTGGTCTGCTGGAGACGGTCCCCAGCAGACCAGGGGCACCCGGAGCAGCTTTTCTCGCCCCGGAGGTCGAGGTGGCGGGACCGCTGCGCTCTGGGCGGTCCCGCTGCCTGCGAGCTCCGAGGCGAGAAAGCGCCGTTCGTAAGTGCGGATCCGACATAAGTCGGATCCGCGTAACTCGGGGACTGCCTGTACTTAAATGCATTATCGATCGTGATACCTCTCTGTGTATATAAATAAAAAGTTTTTCCTGCCATATGACAGAATGATGTGGCTTCCAGAGAAAGGGAGGTTGACCGGGGGGGACACGACGGTGTTGGTGAGCAGGGGGGCAGCCCCCTAGTAAAAGTAAATATTTATTTTAAAGGAGGTGATAGCTACTGCTGGTCTCTTTTGCTATGAGACTGCATTGAAATACAATATATTTAGGATGTTTTGTTTCTCCAGCCACAAACCAATTCCTTCTTTTTAAACACTAAACATCTGCTGTAGATTTAGATTTCCCTTGGTTAAGTAATCATTATTCCTTGCTGGCACAAGGTAAATCATGTCATATTTTCTAAAGTTAATAATTGATAATTTTGCCTACCTTCTCTCTAACCACAGCTAAGTTGTTCCTGTATCATTTCCTTGGGGTTAAGAAGGATATGTATGTTTGCAGTGGCATTGGGCAGGTGCATGGAACTGGACTGAAAGGTAGATAGTTTTGACACTGAAAGCACACAGACGTACTGTGTGCTCTAAAAATACCCTCCAAAAGTAATCTTGTTCTAAAATTTGAATTCTTGTTATAAACTTGTCCAGAGCCTTTGTGGTTCCCATAATGTAGCTGATTTCCTTGGCATTTTCTAGGGCTTATTACCACTGTGTAAAATGCATTTGTCATATAATACAACAAGACCCTAGAGTAGACTGGAAATGCAGAAATCTGTTTTAATTTCCAAGCTGGAGTAAATCCAAACCATGTACAGCTGAAACAGAGAAAAATAAATTATTAAAATTTGTCAGGTGTTATTAATTTCAGGTGTTACTAATGGCACCTACCTATAATACATTCATGTATTTTAATATTCATTTTAAATAAAAACATTTTCACATCCTTCAAAATAAATTGTTGCTGCTGTTAAAGATGTACTTAAAATGTAATATCTACCCAGAATGTGTAGTATAATAGAATGTTAATATGCATTGGTTTGGCTCCTACTGTCTTCAAAAACTACAATTAAAAAAATAATAATTACAGTAGTACTTATGCTCTGTTTTCTAGAGATGTCACCACTGTTGTGATACAATTATTGGCCTAATAACCTTCCTTTTAAAGATAAATGGGTTTTTCAAAAGTGCCTAAGTGAGTAAGAGTGCAAGTCCTGTTGACTACTGATGGGTGTTGAGCTTCTAAGTTACTTAAGAGCTTGTGAAAATCCCACCTTGCATGATTTCAGTGAGACTTTTTTTAACTCTGCTAATATGTTTTCTCCCCAGTGAATTAGTACCAGCCTATGACTCAACTACCTTTGTCTTGGAAAACTTCAGGTAGGAATGTGTCCTAAGAAATTATCATGAATGTCAAGGAGTGTTTCTCATTTGTTCTATATTCGGTTTTAAACCATTGAATAGACCTATTGAAAATCACAATATACCTGTATGCCAAGTGTGAAGAACTGAGTCAATCTCTTGACTTTTGTTTCCAGAGTGAACAGAAAAAGTAGCTACCAGTTCAGTAAGCTGACTGCTATGGCTTAATGCTAATTAACCATTGAGAACAAAGGAATAATACAAATGTACCTAGACAGATTGGAAATATGGCTTGTAGAAGATTTAAGGAAAATGGCTGATAATACACGTGGGGATGTAGTGTGAGAGAACACACTTAAAATGTTCATTGGGGAAAAGGTAGGAGAGAGAGCTGGCAAGTAATATTGGCTGAAAGGTATAAGGGTAATAGTGGATCTGCATTGCAGGTAGGAAAAATAGTCATGCAATTTGGCCTGCACATGCAGTGAGGAAATTTCTCTCTAAATGACTCCTGTGTGATTGCACCAAAGATACAGTTGTGAGCATTGTATCATGACAGTGTTGCCAAATGAGTTCAGATACGATCACCAAAACAAAGCAAAGTGGGGGAGGAGATGATTTTTTAAAAGAAAAGATTAATAGTTAACTTACAAGTAGCCTGGTTAGTAATTGTCTGAATAGTGGGAAAAGAACAAAAGTCTGCATCTTTGCTGCTTATGCTCTTTTATATATTTGGAGTGGAATTATCAGTGTGGTATGATGTGATAATACTATATAATGGGATAGTATCTAGAGAGAGTAACTTGGGATAAGTATCAGAACAGCTTTGTTAATAATGAGATGCATTAGGCAGTGGAATAGTTACCAAGGGATGTCATGGAAGTCCATCTCTAACTGCTGTGATAGCTTCAAAACATGCTACTGCATTTCATTTGGTGCAACAAAATGGATAGTTCTAACATGCAAATGTAAATAGTACACTATTTTATTCTGTCACCTCCCACCATAGGGGTTTGCTACATCCCACTGTTGAATATTCATCCCTTCTTTCAACAGCACTTTGCGTCAGCGGGCAGATCCTGTGTACAGTCCACCTCTTCAAGTGTCAGGGCTTTGCTGGCGACTAAAGGTTTATCCAGTGAGTTTGCATGATCTTTTAAAAATATTTTTCCAAACAACAATGTATCCATGGGCATAAGTACACTAGTTTAGATCCCAGTCATGCGAACTCTTAAGCACATACGTATGGATGTTCATGTATACCAAGGCTGGGCAAAATATGGTTTGTGGGCTGAATCCAGTCCACCAAGCCCCTGGATCTAGCCCTGGGAGCGTCAGCTGGCTCCCTGCCTGCACCGCCCCTGCTCAGAACTCAGGAAAGCTGGTTGCAGGGCCAGTAGGCATCTCTGAATTCCGAGAGCCCAGGGGAGGGCGAAGAGGCTTCTCATACTTCCCCCACTCCCAGAAGCTCCCATTGGCTGGTTTCCAGCCAATAGCAGCTGTCTGCTTACAGGACAGACGGTATGTGATGCCCAGCGGTCAATTCAGAGCAGTAGCCATGGCCCCTGCAGCTGCTATGAGCATGTACTGGGGCATGGAAGGCAGGGACCCTGGCTAAGGAGCCTGCTGAGCTGCTGGCTAGGACCTGTCCAGGAAAGTGTCTCCCAGCCAGAGCTTGCCTCTGGTACCTCAGCCCTTCCCTCTCTCAACCCTCTGCCCCCCTCCTGCATCCCTACCCCCTGCAATCAAACCTCCTGCACCCCCACTTCAGCCCCCATACACCTTCTCAGATCCTGCACTCCCTCCTTCTACACCCCTCCCCAAGGCCACGATCCTCTCCTGCACCTATACCCCCTCGCAGATCCTGCACCACAGTCCTCTGCCCCTGGTCACAATCCAGACCCTTACACCTCTATCCCAAGTCACAATCCCCTCCTAAACCCTGCACCCCAGTTCTCTGCCCCATGTCACAAGCCCCTCCTTCACTCAGACTCCCTCCTAGATCCCTTACTCCAAGCTCCCTTCTGCACCTAACCTCCATTCCAGACCCCAGACCTCCCCCATTAATATAATGGAAGATTATGTCCTTTGATCACTTACCGAATTCTTTGTATAGCCCCCATCAAAAATTATTGCCCACTCCTGATTTAAGCAGGCAACCTTAATTCAGGCATTTCTTAGCTTGTAATTATTTGATTTTTTTTTTAAACCAGGAAATTACACACACATAAAACTATGTAAAAATAATATTAAAATTGCAAATTTCAACATATGATGTCTATATGACATCATATGATTTCTGAGCTGACCTCTGTTACTTGAGCAAATGGAGCGATAGCAATAGTAAGTTGCCACCCCCTATGGAAGGCAGTGTGGCCTAGAGCATTGGACTGGAACTAGGCAGTCTATATTCTGTTACCAGCTAGGGAGGTCAGATAGCGGGTAATAGAATAGTCAAGTAACCACACAAAATATTATCGGTTACTCAACTATTCTATAATCCCTGGGGACGGGGCCAGCAGGCAGTGCACTCCGGCCCCACTCCCAGGGAGTCCCCTGTCACCCTGCACTGCTGCCTCTGTATCAGTGGGAGCAGCGAGGAGAGCCAGTTTAAAAACCAGATCCCCACACGGACTGGCTGCCTGTGGGTCTCAGGCTAGTCACAAAGAGCCTGATCCAGCAGCAGCCCCTGTCTGTGGGGATCCCCCCAACTCTCTTATGGGATCCACAGCGGACAGGGCCTGCTGCTGTAAAGCCCCCTTGATGGGGGAGGGTGGGGAGTGTCCAATGGGGAACTAGGACCTCCCCATGGACTGGGGCTGTTGCTGGCTGGTCAGGCAGCCTGGCTCAGACCTGGCTCGCGCTGGGACCAAACCTGCTGTGGCTCTGATATTAAAATGCAGTAGGAGCTGGGGGGCAGACAGTCCTGCTCCTACTGCCTTTTATATTGCAGAGCTGCAGCAGGGTTCGGTCCCGGTGCGAGACGGGGACAGGAGCCGGTTGCCTTCCCCTGTTGACTAATTTAGTAGTAAAATAACCTAATTTTAACGTCCCTCTCTGTAAGGTGCCACAGGACTCCTTGTTTTTACAGATGCACATTTACCTGGCCCTGGCCCTGTTACCAAGCCTGCTGTTCCCCTGACCCCAGCACCAACCCTGGCCCTGCTACTGGAGCTGCTGCTACCCTGGTCCCAGCACCGTCCCGAGCTCCACTACAGGGGCTGCTACTGCCCTGGCCCTGCTACTGAGGCTTTGCTGGTGGGGCCCTGGTCCCCTCCCCCACTCTGCTGCTGCTATCCCCTCCAAGGCTCCCAGTCACTGGCTCTCCTGCCATAGAGCTTCCAGCCAGGACTCCCTGGTCCAGCAACATCTGTGGTCCTGCTGGAGAGTCCCGGTTTTTGGAGGTCCAACCTGATACAATGGTACATTATGACACCTTGTCAGAATCCAGGAAATTCAAGATAAGACTGACACGTCATCTTTGGCTTACACTGTTGTGAGGGAGAAGGCTTTGCCATACTACTGGTTTTCTTATAACCTCAGTGCTACTTAACTCTTTGAATCGTGATTAGTTACTTTTCAATATACAGATCAGAGAAAACAACTTCGTTTTGCTTCAGCCCCCAAAATAAAAGGGCTTTGAAATTCTGCTGTCTAGAATTTCAGATAACTTGAGAAGCTTTAAAATATACCAATCATTTTCTTTATTGCCCTCCTTATACACACGTTTAATATGAAAAATCAATTCTATGGTATGTAGAAGAACTTGTCAAACTATTCCTGTTTACGCTTGATTGAACTACATAAATGCAACAACAACAAAAATTGTAACTTCCAAATTTTTTATTCTGAGGTAAAGCCTAGCACCCAAACATATGCACCTAGAACCACTGCAGTCATATTCAAACTTTCTAAATGTGTTGATTTCATATGTTGCTGTTCTAAGGCTGTAGGAAATTGAATTTATTTTCTATAATAACAGATTCTTTTAGTAATTGTACCTCCTAACTTCTTTTTAAGGATGGAAATGGAGTCGTGCGTGGTTACTACTTATCTGTGTTCCTAGAGCTCTCAGCTGGATTGCCAGAAACGTCCAAGTAAGGAAATGTTTCTCACCTAAGGAGTTAAGAGTTTTCCAAAAGCGTGTTCAGCCTCGTGGCTTTCCTAGGACTTGATCCAAAGCTCACTGAAGCAGATGAAATTCCTGTTGATTTCACTGGGCTTTGGATCAGGACCCTCATCTCATAAGGTGATGTATAGAGGGTCTGAAGAAGATGACAAACAAGTCAGCAAGACAGCTGTCAGTAGAACCCAGGTCTCAACTTCCAGTCTATGCTTGGTCAGCTATACCACTCTGACTCAAAGGCAAAGAGTTCTGCAAGAGGGATGCTATAAAACAGGGGTGGGGAACCTCAGGCCCACCAGCTGGATCCAGCCCCCGAGGCTCAGGACCCCTTCCAGCACTGGAGGACCATGTCAGCGAGGGGTGTGTGTGGGTGTGGGTGTGGGTGTGTGTGTGTTTGCTTTTCACTTGTGTGTGGCCCCCAACTGATTTTTTTTCTTCCTCTGGGTCAGTGGCCCCCGACCCAAAAAAGATTCCTCATCCCTGCTGTAAAATGACCTGTGTGTAGTATTTTAGCCCTCAGATAAATTAAAACTGTGTTATAACTGTCAGTATTATAACCTTGCCCTCTAAAGTCAATAATTACTTCAAATAATAACATTTTTTATTTGCCTGGCTCCAAAATATGTCTGTCTTAAGACTCTTCAGTTTAATAGGACACTTTCTGCAACATTTAACTTCTCAGAATATTTTCTGGTTCTGTCCTGTTTAAAATTTAGAATGTAACTGCTGACTGGAGGTATGGAGGCAGTATCAGCTGCTGGAGGACCAGAAACATGTCCTGAATCTCAGCTTAAAATTCCTTTGCCTATGAAAGATTGATTTGCCAGACTTAGAAATCACAATTTCAACTGGAAGGCACCTCGAGAGGTCAGGTCCAATCCCCTGCCCTCACCATAGGACCAAGCACCATCTAGATCTCGTTTTTTTACTTGTCAGGGATGTAGTCCTATGACACCTTAGAGTCAAACAAACAAACAAATGAATAAATATAAATAAACTCACTTCCTCGATAAACTTGAAGCTGGACTAGAAATAATCCTGACAAGTGTTTGTCTAACCTGTTCTTAAATATCTCCATTGATGGTCCCACAACCTCCCTAGACAATTTATTCCAATGCTTAACCATCCTGACAGTTAATTTATTTTTCCTATTGTCCAACCAAAACGTCCTTTGCTGCAATTTAAGCCCATTGTTTCTTTTCCTATCATCAGAGGTTAAGGAGAATATTTTTCCTTGTCCCTGTAACACCAGTTTAGGTGCTTGAAAGCTATCATGTCCCTTCTCAGTCTTCTCTTTTCCAAACTAAACAAACCCATTTCTTTCAGTCTTCCCTCCTAGCTCATGTTCTCTAGAAGACCTTTAATCAGTCTTGTTGCTCTTCTCCAGACCTTATCCACTTTTTCCACATCTTTCTTGAAATGCGATGCTCAGAACTGGACACAATACTCCAATTGAGGCCTAATTAGAGTAGAGCGGAAGAATGACTTCTCATGTCTTTTTCATAACACTCCTGTTAATGCATGTTTGCTTTTTTGCAACAGTTGACTCATATTTAGCTTGTGGTCCACTATGACTCCTAGATCACTTTCTGCAGTACTGCTTCCTAGACTGTCACTTCCCATTCTGTATGTGAGAAACTGATTGTTCCTCCCTGAGTACTTTGCATTTGTCATTATTGAACTTCGTCCTGTTTATCACAGACCATTACTCCAGTTTGTCCAGATAATTTTGAATTATGACCCTGTCCTCCAAAGCACTTGCAACCCCTCCCAGCTTGGTATCCTCTACAAACTTTATAAGCTTACTCTCTATGCCATCATTTAAATTGTTGATGAAGATATTGAACAAAACTGGTCAGAAAACAGACCCCTGCAGAGTCCCACTTGTTATATCCTTCCAGCATGATTGTGAACCAGTGATAACTATTCTCTGAGAATGGTTATCCAGCCAGTCATGCACCCATCTTTTAGTAGCCTCATCTAGGTTGTATTTCCCTAGTTTATTGATAAGAAAGACACGTGAGACTGTATCAATGCTTTACTAAAGTCTAGATATAACACATCTACCCCCCACATCCACACAGTTTGTTACCCTATGAAAGAAAGCTATCAGATTGGTTTGACATGATTTATTCTTGACAAATCCATGCTGACTGTTACTTATCACCTTATTATCATCCATGTATCTGCAAATGGATCCCTTAATTATTTTCTCCATTGTCTTTACTGGCACAGAAGTTAAGCTGAAGGGTCTGTAATTCCCTAGGTTGTTCTTATTTCTCTCTTTATAGATGGGCACTATTTGCCCTTTTCCAGTCTTTTGGAATCTCTCCTCTCTTCCATGATTTTTCAAAGATGATGGCTAATGGCTCAAATAGTTCCTCAATCAGCTCCTTGAGTATTCCAAGATGCATTTAATCAGGTGATTTGAAGACATCTAAGTTTTCTAAGTAATTTTAAGTTCTTTTTCTTTTTTAAACTTCTGAACCTACCTGATTTTCACTGGCATTCACTATGTTAGGCTTCCAATCACCACCAACCTTCTCGGTGAAAACGAACACACAGAAGTTGTTAAGCACCTCCACCATTTCCACATGTTCCATTATTGTTTATCTCTCTTCGTTGAGCAGTGGACTTACACGGTCCTTGGTCTTCCTCTTGTTTCTAATATATCTGTAGAATGTTTTCTTGTTGCCCTTTATGTCTCTAGCTAGATTGAGCTTGTTTTGTGCCTTTGCCTTTCTAATTTGCCCCTAGATACTTGTGGTGTTTGTTTATATTCATCCTTTGTACTTTGACCTAGTTTCCACTTTTTATAGGACTCCTTTTTGATTTTTAGATCATTCGAGATCTCCTGCTTAAGCCAGGGGGATCTCTTGCCAGACTTCCCATCTTTTCTACGCAGTGAAATGGTGTGCTCTTGCACCCTTAATAATGTCCCATAGAAAAAATGGCAACTGTCGTCAGTTGTTTTTCCTCTTAGTCCTTATCTACCACCTCTCTGAATTTACTAAAGTCTGCTTTCTTGAAATCCATTGTCTTTATTTCTCTGTTCTCCCTTTTACCATTCCTTAGAATCACAAACACTTTCAACCATGCTGCCATCCACTTTCATATTCTCAACTGGTTCCTCCCTATTTGTTAAAATCAAACCTAAAACAGCCTTCCCTCAGTAGCTTTATCCATCTTCTGAAATAAATAGTAACAGCTGAGTGACATGTTTTGGTTGAGGAGAGGAAGGAATAGGAAACAAAGTCTAGCTTATTGGTTAACAGGTTATGTGGCTAAACTCTTACAACCCTAATTGACTGTTGTTAGTGGACTTTAATAAGCAAAAGATAATGCAAGCTTTTAAAAATGCCTTGTCTTCCACACATTCAGAACAACAAGATGGATTGTGAGGGGGAGGAGGGTAGGGGAAGGAGGCAGGCTTTCCTTTTCATATTCAGACCACTTGATAACACTTAGTACGAGAGGTACCTTGCCATCTGCAGTGCTCTGGGCATTTCACAATTAGCATGTGTGAGATGGCCAAGAGCCTGCATGTTTTTTATATATATGTATTTTATTAGCACTGTATCATTTGTGTCCTGTTGCAGAGGCAGTCTGAGAGTCAGCTGTACTACAAGCATTACAGTGACACAGCTGCTTCGCTGCACTGTAGTCACTGCAGTAACAGAAGGGCCTTTTCCATCACTTCAGTTAATCTACCCCCTCGAGAGGTGATAGCCCACAATGGCAGAAGTATTCACTTGTCAACCTAATAGTTTCTACACTGGGACTTAGGTGGGTTTAACTGGATGTGTTGGGGTGTGAATTTATACACCCCCGAGTGACACAACTAGGTCAACCCAAGTTTGAGGTGTAGTTCAGGCCTCAACGGTGGTATTTTTAGTATTGTGTTGTCATGGCACCTCTGCTGGTAGGTCAAGAAGGATGCACATTAAGGTTATCCATAGACTATATGGCTATATGCACCTTACTAGATGAGAGTTTACTACTATTTTCATAATTTTTAGAAATTTTCTAATGCTCAGTGCAACTGCTTTCTGCCATTTTCACATACTTGCGAAGGATAGGAAGAACTTGATAAAAATGTATTATGTGCACATATAGTCTCTTAAACCATCTCAACTATTATGAAGTGTATTCAGCAGACCCCCAAAATAATCTTAAATGAAAGTTTAAAGGACACAGTGAACTTGAAAATCCTATTTCAAACTCAGAAGCTACTTCTAATGGGAAAAAGTGAAGGAGAGAAAAAGTGTATGTTTTCAGTTTGATTATGGGTTTGATTACTTTCTTTGTATAGTTTGACTGTTTCCTCTGTGCTATTTTACACACAGCACATGGGGATAAGAACACATCTGAAAGAGTAAAATGATCATAAAACCTAAAAAATTGACATGGGGATTTAAGATCTATCAGGGAATCCTGGAGCTACTTAATTTTTATTTAAATTAATTACATTTCAAATTGTGTCCCTTCTTAATTCATTGCTTCAGTTCTATTTGAGAAGTTTGTCTTCATCTTACAGTCCAGCTACTTATTCCTCATGTAGAATAGATTGGTGGATGCACAGAGCTTTGGCTTCTGATTCTATCAGCCCTGACACCATCAGATTAGAGAGACTGCTTTGAAGTTCTGCATTAGAGCTTGGTGTACTGAGGGAGATCCTGATCTGTGGTATTTAAACTGTATTAAGTTATAAATACCCAGCAGTCTGTCAGCCTGTCCTAAAAACATAGCATGCATTTTGCCTGTATGATCAGCCTTATATCTTTTACCTCTTAAAATGTGTAGATTATCCAAAAAAGCCATCACCACGTTGTTCATTTTCCAATCTGAAGTCTTTTCTTGCTGACTCACATTTTTTTGGCAGGGGAGGGAGAGGGAGAACATCCTAGTTTCTGTTTAAAATGTGATTCTCTTAGTAACTTCATTTCACCTGAAACAAACATTACCATATACATTTTTTCTTTTATTAAAATCAGGTGGTGGTGGTGGTTGTTCCAATTAATTTTATTTTGTTCACATTTAGGTATGAGTACCGCGTGGAGATGGTTCACCAGTCCACCAATGATCCTGCTAAAAATATAATTCGAGAGTTTGCCTCTGACTTTGAAGTTGGAGAATGCTGGGGTTATAACAGATTCTTTCGATTAGATTTGCTTGCCAATGAAGGATATTTGAACAGACAAAATGACACTGTAATTCTTAGGTAAGAAAGGTAATTGGTTGTTTCCACAAACATGTTTTCTGTGGCATTGGTTTATGAAAGTACTATTATTATTTCTTCATTTCTCATGAGCTTTAAAGGAAAGAGTTCACGTAGGAGAGGAACTGGGGGAAGGTTTATGTGTATAGATTCTCTTGAGATGAAGCGCAGTCATCTTCAAAAACTACACCAGACACTAATAGGCCATGCATAGACAGAAAATTAAAAATGCATTCCATTCCCCTTTGAGTATTGTCCTTGAGATTAGGAGAACTTTGAAGGAATGGAAGGGTGTTGTTAATGGAATTGAAGCTGACTTTCTTATTGGAAATTGTAGCATTATGGCTAAATATAGTTACCTTGCACTTCTACTTCAAGTTGGGTCTTTATCATTTGTGTTTTGGCTGTTCTGGTATTTCAGAATTCTATATTATAGTATATCTGGACAAGTGTACAGGACTAAATTTTTTTTATCAGGCTTCAGCTTAATTTTATCACCTGGTTTTAAGCATTGTATCATTTTAGGTAGGACGTCACAAGTATTAATACACATTTCACTTTCATGGCATTTTAAAGATTCCAGGTGCGTTCACCTACCTTCTTCCAAAAGTGTCGGGACCAGCACTGGTATATTACTCAGTTGGAAGTTGCTCAGACAAGTTACATCCAACAAATAAACAACCTTAAAGAGGTAAGGGGAGGGTGTTGGAGGTTGGTTTTTTTTTTGTCAAATTCAAACATAGATTTAAATCTTTGACTATACTGATCAGCGGCCATTAAGTTTGTTTCACTGTCAGGTTTATTTGGATACCCAGCACTGATGGTGCTTGATTTTGTTTCCAGTTAGTTTTAATGTCTTTCATGTTAATCTGTGATATGCTGTTGCTTCTTGTAATTTTATTCTTAAATTTTCTTTGGCATATACTTATGTTTCTATTTTTAAATATGTATTTAAGAGACTGGCAATTGAGCTTTCCCGTACTCAAAAATCACGAGGCATGTCACCTCCAGACACTCATCTTAGCCCCCAGAATGATGATGGCCCAGAAACAAGACCAAAAAAATCTGGATCAAATCCTGAAGGATTATTTGTGGATGTTGCCACTCCAGCATTAGTGAGAGATGCCAAGGATGAGGAAGAGGAGAAAATCCAGCATGAAGATTTTAATGTAGGAATTCTCTTCTGCTCCAGTTTTTATTTCTACCCATTGTACTGTTACCAGAAAATTATAGAAGCATGTGTGTTAAATGAACTATTCTTTACAAGTGCAGAATTAGTCTGGGAAGGGATAGAAACTTTTAGGGGGTAACAGAATAATGACTTAAGAGTCTGTCTGTCCAAAATGGTACTGTCAGGCAGATATTTTATCAACTTGTGTTGCACTTTCAACTCCTAGGTGGTATTACTGACATCGGGCTTTGCTTTGTCTGTTCAGAATGTAGTCTAGGTAAAAGGATTTAAAAAAACACTTTAGATGAGAATTTCTGTACAACGGGAATTTTATGTTCTGTTGCTCTAGTATGAGCTCTCGGATGGTGATCTGGATGTAGACCTTACTGGAGAAGATGAGGTAAACCACCTGGATGGCAGCAGCTCCTCTGCTAGTTCAACAGCCACTAGTAACACTGAAGAGAATGATATTGATGAAGAGACCATGTGAGTAACTGCAAAAACTTACTGAAAAAAGTTATCCTCTTGACCAGTTGTCAGTTCCCATCCGAACAGAGTCAACTTAATATATATATATCACAATGATAGAGTCTTAGATAAATGTGAGACAGATTACAGGCCTGGAAATGACACATGTAGAATGTAGTAGAAATGCAGGATGCCAGTTCTGTAAGCAGTTTTTGTCCTGGTCTAGTTACTGATTTATTTCCAGTGTGTTGACATATTCAGTTAAACATGTTGTCTTTGACCAACAATGTCATATAAGGCTCTTTTCAAGAGATTAGTTAACTCTGATTCACAATAATTTACCATGGTGATACACTGCACAAGTACAACTACTGTTCAGAACTTGAGCACTTAGACTTCAATTTTTCAGCATTTAAACAGTCTAAAGGATACTGTCAGATATACATATTTACCATACTATTAAAGATGTATATTCTTGTAATGAATATGGAAGGCTTGTGAAATCAGTTTTTAAAATTCCATATCTTGGAAATGTGTTAAATTTTTGGATTTGGTTTTATAATCAAGTGATGATGTATTTTGACTTGTTAGTACTACTACATACCGTTTTGAAGCTTCAAAATAGTAGTGGTATGTTTAGTCTTTCAGTTCAGTTGGCAAACATCATAATGCCTAATTGGAGCTGGTAGTCTGATTTGTTTTTCTTCTCATCAAGGTCTGGAGAAAATGATGTTGAATATAATAATAATAATAATATGGAGCTAGAAGAAGGAGATCTCCAGGAAGATGCTGCTGCTGCTGGGGGAGCATCAGGTACAGAAGAAAACATTCACAATAAAACTTGCAGTGATTTGTCAGGTTTCCTCCTCTGTCTTTTTTAGTATCACATCGCAAACAATATTCAGCTACATATTCTGGGTTTTTCTATTTCTGGAAATGCTGTATCTTGTATTGTACACTAAGGCTTCGTCTAGACTGGCATGATTTTGCACCAAAGCAAGTGCTTTTGTGCAAAATCTTGCTGCCTGTCTACACTGGCCATGAGTATTTGCGCAAGAACACTGACTTTGTAATGTACAAAATCAGTGGTTCTTGCGCAAATACTCTGACGCTCCCGCTCAGGGATAAGCCCTCTTGTGCAAGTATTCTTGCGCAAGAGGTCCATTGTAGAAAGCAACTTTAATTTCTTGCGCAAGAAAGCCCGATGGCTAAAATGGCCATCGGAGCTTTCTTGCGCAAGAGAGCATCTACACTGGCACGGATGCTTTTGCGCAAAGGCACATGCCAGTATAGACGCTGTCTTGCGCAAATACTTTTAACGGGAAGACTTTTCCGTTAAAAGTATTTGCACAAAATCATGCCAGTCTAGACGCAGCCTAATTATTGTAGTAGAGTGTCAGCTTCCCAGTGGCTAGAAGAGAAGTGGAGAGGCCTTCTACTGGACATCCTTTAAAAAAAATCTCAGTTTGAAGTTTCTCTGCGAGCCTGAATTACAAGATATTTCCATTCCAGCCAAAAGTAGACCAGCGAATGTCTCTGCTTCTGCTCTTCTGCTGTCATGATGGTTTCTGACCACCTGACACATTCCTTAAGATTTTGCTACACTGTTATTAGCTACGTTTGAATTAAGTGAGGAGCGTGAAATGTATGAATCTTTAAACGTGGAGCCAGAATGAAATTAAAATATAAATAATTAAAGAGAACTCCATAGGATCATTTTCAGCATAAAGGTGACTACAATTCAAAATCTAATATGTTTTAACCAGAATTTCTAAAATGACTGAGTCTACGTTTAAATGTATTGATGATGCCATCACCCACAGACCACACCCACCTAAAGCAGCAAAGGCCTATTAACAATCTTTAAGGAATGCCAATCTTCAAATCTTTTTGCGCTTTCTCTCTCTCTCTTTCTGTCTCTCTCGCTCTCTCTCTCTCTCTTCACTTTCAGTATCAACCTGTTGTGCTTTAGATCCAGTCTCTGTCACAACACAGGCAAATTATGCCACTCTTCAAAATATTCCTTGAGTCAGGCATTTGAGGAGCCTGACTAATTTAAGTGTGACATGAATCTGTTAAGAACTAGAGTGGAAATGGGGGTGTAATGTCTGCACAATCCAGTATTATCTAAGGTTCTCTTCACATACCATATTAGTAGTTATTTATAAATCTTGATGCAAAGAATGTATTGACCCATTCACTTTAAAGGGAGCCTTTGTTTTTTAATTGCTAATAATGCTCTTTCACTCTGAATACTGATAATGATGTTCTTAGTCACCTGCTTTGGAAGGAAACTGATTGGGCTCTCTAGTCTAATCTCCCAGTTTAGACTTCAGACAAAGTGACTGGGTCTCAGACCCCTTATGGGACTGCTAAACACTATAAAATAAGAACATTTCACAGCTCAAAATAAGGCTTAATTGAAGAGCTCCCTAGATCAGATAAAGAAAATCCTCATTTTTGTTAGTTTTTTTTTATTTTAAAAAAACCTACAACTGGATAGGAACAGTTCGTGTTCTTTGTATTTAATGAAGTCAAATTCTGTTGATTTTCCATTTTTCAGACTTAATTTTTTATCAATGTACTTTGCTTTTCTTCAGTACTTTTAGTAGCTGTACTTCTTTGTAACAAAATTGCTTTTCCTGAGGTGTTGTGGTGTATGTTTGGAGTGCTTTTAAGATTTCCATCCTTGAACTACATCAAGGGTTTATAGCTGCTCTGTTGTGAAATTCTAGCATCTAACATACACAGACAAACATGGTGTCTATGTACTTATCCCATGGTATTGTGTTTTTCAGGTAGTAGCCATGGTTATGCCAATGCAAGTGGCAGATCTTCAAGGCGGAGTGGAAGTACTTTAGGCTCAGCAGCCAGCAGCAGTTTACTAGACATAGATCCCTTAATTTTAATCCATTTACTGGATCTAAAAGACAGGAATGGGGTGGAAAATCTGTGGGGTCTACAGCCACGTCCTCCTGCCTCACTTCTGCAGAACAGAGGTAAATATTGCATTTAAATACCACACTTCCATGTGTTCCTTTGACATGCCATTAGATGCACATAAAATCAGAATAATTTGTTCAAGAATAAGGATGACTATACTGGTTCAGACCAAAAGTTCATCTAGTCGAGCATTCTGTCTTCCGATGTCAGGTACTTCAGAAGAAATGAATTATCAAGTGATCCATCCTGTGGTGCATTCCTAGTTTCTAGAAAACAGAAGCTGCAAAGAATTCAGAGCATTATTTCTAAAAGCTATTGATGAACTCGTCCTATATGAATTTATTTAGTTCTTTCTTTTTTGAACCCTCTTGTAGTCTCGACCTTCACAGTATCCTGTGGCAACAATTTTCACATGTTGATTGTTGTATAAAGAAATACTTCCTTTTGTTTGTTTTAAACCTGCTGCCTACTAATTTCATTTGGTAGTCCTTAGGCCTGGTCTTATGAGAAGGAGTAAATAACATTTTCTTATTTACTTTATCCACATCAGTCATGGTTTTATAGACTTCTATCGTATGCCCATCAGCCCTTTCTTTTCCAAGCTGAAAAGCCCCAGTCTTATAAATTTGTACCTTTTCAAATTCCAGTGTATCTTTTTAGAGATAGGGCAACCAGATCTACATGCAGTATTCCAGACGTGAGTGTACTATAGATTTCTATACAGACAATATGATATTTTCTGTCTTATTTCCTAATGACTCTCAATGTCCTGTTAGCTTTTGTGACTACCATTGCACATTGAGTAGATGTTTTCAAGGAACTATTCACAATGACTCCGAAAGTTTCCATTAGCTTTGTCTGCATTACCTATCACAAAGATGGACTGGGGAAAGTCCTTGGATTCTATCAATAGTTGTTGATGTATTTTCATAATTGGTAATAGTCACTGTGTGCACCAAACCACAGAGTACTCTTTGGCTTTATAGCTGCCTTCGGATTTAGAACTGCAGATGAGTATTGAGTCCAAATCTTTCTGCATGGGGGCAGAGACAGTGTCTGTCTCTGTTTAAAGATAAGGCTGTGTATGTAAACCTGAAGAGTAAGCCTGAACGTGTACACATCTTGAGTAGCTAACTTGAGATCTATGAAGAGAGTAATTCCTTATTCTTAGTCCTCTACAGTAGTAGATCAGTGCCAGATAAATAATTGCTACTGGGAAGGATTACGATGCTGTAGACATAAACAGAACAAAACGTAATGTATACAGAGTAAGGAATGGCCATTTCATCTGTTCACTGAAAGTGGAGCTACAGGAAAGATTATGTATGGTAGTGGGGAAGCTATTTCAGGCATTTGAGGTGGCCCAGAAGATGGCACTTGAGAAAGGAGGCACAGGACACAAGTGGCAGATTAGGTGGATTGTAAAGCCAGAAAGGAAGGGTATGAGAAGCTGAGGGGAGTGATCATGATGGAGAGCTTGAAAAGTGTCAAGAAGAAGCTTGAGAAATAGTAGAGGCTGATGCAGAAACTCACAAAGGAAGAAAATGGCGGTCAGTTTCTGTGTTGATACTTATTAAATTTTCATGGAATTTGAGTTAGTGTTAGGCTGCTGTGCCCTAATTTTAATTTTGTGTGAACCAAAGGAAAGATAGCAAGCTGTAAGTGTAATTGTGTCAAGCTAATTATTGTTGAAGGTCAGATGTTCCTCTCCTTAGTTAGTGAAGATCAAGTAAATTGAATCAAACCTCATACATACATTTAGCAGAGTTACCATTAGTCTGGGGCTAATTGGCACACAGCCACAATATCTTATTTCAGGTCACTTTGAAACAACCATTTGGTGACTTAATAGAGCAGAAGAGAAATAGTAGTCCATCTGGTACAGAGATACACTTTGGATAGGATGGCATTTTCATTGTCCAGCCTAAAGATAGGAGGTGAATGCTTTGAGTTTTGATGTTAACTTTCAGATTTTGTCTTGAAGTAAAATTTATGCATTGGCAAACAGAGTTGTTCAATCAGTACCTCCTGTTGCATTTCCTACTTTCAGTTTGTCTCTCTGGAAATATAAAATGGAAGTTCAGGGTTAGATCATCCCTCTTGCATGAAAACTGCATGAGGGTTCTGCTCAGTTTCCTTTGATTCTTCCATTAAAGTGATGACGCAGAGTTAGCTCAAGCCCCTGCAAAAATATAAGTAGGTTTCACCTCTCCCTCCCCAGTAACACGACTCTATGGGAGTAATACTCTCAGGAGTTTCCCTGACAAAGGCTGTCCTTAAGGACTCTCTTTAAAGGGATGCTCTCCATTGTAGAGGGGACTCTGCAGTAAAGCCTTTCTAATCCACTACCAAACCTGTGTAGCTTAACCACTTTCCACCAACAGAAGATATTATCTTACCTACCTTCTCTCCTGAGCTATAACAATGTACCTCCGTATTTCCTTATGGTTGGTAGGAAAATACTGTGCATCTTTCTGCCCCTGCTCTCACCAACTTCCATACCTGCTAAGGGACTATGAGTCCAGACAGATTCCTCTCCCTGTCCTTGTGCATGAGCACAGACAGATATGTATATGGAGCATCCACACACTTGCAGATCTGTGGGACGTGATCTGCTCCCTACATGTTTGTGTTCTGTAATTGCAAAAAAGTGGGAAGACTAAAACATTCTTCCAAAGAGGCTTACTTTGTACACTTTCCAAAAGTCACATGAGCTATTCAGTAGGGAGTGATGCTGAGGGTCTGTTTAGTTCTTGGGGGGGCAGGTGACCAAATTGATAGTCATGGTGGAGAAGTCCCAATTTGAATTGACCATAGAAGCTAAACTTGGCTTTCCCCAGCCCTTTCAAAATGCAGATGAGGTATATTTGGTAGGAGACTGTGTAGGGCAGGGCTACTCAACACTTATTTGCATGTATATGCAGCCACACTTAAGTTGTGGCCCTTGGCATGTGCTGTGGGTATCATTGTGCCCTCCAGGGCTTCCAAAGTTGAGTAGCCCTGGTGTAGGGGAAATCCCCTGATGCCGTTTGCACTACACCAGTTCTGCAGATAAACGAAGAAAAGGCTTTGGTCTCTGATGTGAGTTGTCTCCTTCATTAAACAAATTTGCAGAAAGTGTTTCTTCTTGGGCTAACAAGGTTTTCATAATGATGTAGAACTTGATCTAGCTTCCAAACTGCAAAGGGTACAAAGGCAATGTAGGGGCAAGTAAGTCCTATGCAGTACAGTCAGCTTTAAAAATAAAACAAACAACAAACCTGCAGATTGGCCAAAAGAAGCAGTTTGAAGTGGAGATGACCTGTAGGTAATACAATACTGTCAGGACTCCACAGGTGCTTTTCTAGACTCTGCTTTGACAAACTATAGAGACCAAATGAAGGTGTTGAACAGATGGAATGAACGTGCCTTATTGGCAATATGATACTGTGGTGGGTAGGGTCTCTGCTTCCTTGAGCCAGTAAACTGCATTTGGTGTGGTCTTTCTTTTTGCTGAGATCTCTCAAAACTTGATTTTGTTCCTGTAGCTTGTTCAATAACCATGGTGGAATAAGACTTTTATTTCCAGAGCTTGCTGCATTTTGCCTCATAGAGACCCAAGAGCCATTGGGGTTATAGCTATGAGTCAGTGAGATACACTTTCAGAATTTTGAGTAACAAATAGAAGATTTTCAAGTTGATCTAATTCTGGCTAATTAAAATAAAGGCAGCCAAGGACCTAAGGGAATTCCTTTATTTCGGATTCTTCCTCTGAAGTGACAGTTAAAGTGAAATGTTCATAAAATTATTCTTATAGCCAAGAAATGTACTTGCCATCAAACTGATGAGCAGGTGAACTCAAACCTGTCCAGAGATGTGAAAGGTTCTCTGTCACTATGATTGACACATGACTAAAGAAAAGAAAAGCACCTAGTACAAAAGAACCTGTCTCCTCTGTCCACTGCTGTCATTGAGGTGAAGAGAGCTGCTGAGAGCAGATGCCCTAAATTACTACAACCAAGGGGCTGGGAGTAGATTGTTAGATGAATTGGGCTCATTCTGCATTGGGCACTCATTTCTTTTTCACACAGAGTAACTACAAAAGGCACTGACACACGACTAGTCAGAAACCTCTTTGAGTGTGTCTGCACTATACAGATTGGTGATAGCAGTCTTGTATGGGGTGGGGAGGGTCCTGGTTCATTATTATTGCATGATGTCTTTTTATTTTCAGCGGGAACAGGAAAATACTGTGCTATTCCCAATTTTAGGCAGTCTTGATCAACATTAAAATTGTTCCTTAACACAGTCCTACTTTCCTATCTGCACTGGCAATAAAAAGCAACATGAATTTTTCCTTGCCCTCCAGGGAAACAGTGCTATCACTGAGTCTTTGCTCTTACCATGTAGGCAGCCTTGTGTGTCTTGCTATGTTAAAGGGATTGTCAGTTCAAATTTGGGACAAATTTGATAAAAACTAAGCATTTAAAAATCTGATATCAAAAGAAACATTCCAAGATTTTAATAAGATATTTATGGAAACAGTTTAACAAACATCTTGTAGCATTTGCAACCCAATCCTTGCAGCAGTTTGCTAGTGCATGGGAACTTGAATGTGAAACTGACTCATCTTCTACAAATCCTTCCAGTCTTAGTAATGAACGAGTTTTTAAAGAAAAAGAACATTTTTAACCTTCGTGTTTAACCTTTCTCTTGTAAAGCATCATCCTACTCTCTAAAAGACCGAGACCAGCGGAGGCACCAGGCAATGTGGCGTGTGCCACCTGACTTAAAGATGCTGAAGAGACTTAAAACTCAGATGGCTGAAGTTCGAAGCAAAATGTCCGATGTAAAAAATCAGCTGTCAGAAGTAAGAGGCAGCAACGCTGGCTCTTGTGAGGGGCAACCCAGCTTCCTCCCTAGTGACCAAGGGGCTTTGGCTGCCTGTGGAACAGAAAGCTGCAGCAAGTTACAAGAAATAGGAATGGAGTTGCTGACAAAATCATCAATTACAAGCTGTTACATAAAGAGTTGTAAGTGTGGGATGGGGGAGGGGAAGGCTTAAAGCTGTCACTTCTCTAGGTAGCAGTTGTGTAGACAGATACTGTATCTAGGTGCCTAGGAATAGAAATACTCAGCCTTTTTATAGCTTAAATTTTATAGCTGAGTTTGTTGATAGTAAACATCTTTTGAGAGAAGCAGAAACATGAAACTCGTATGTTTATTGCAGGAAATTAAATGGCTTCTCTAGAAACTGGTTCAAATGTTTTCAGCAAGCACATTGTAGTTACATCTTTGAAGCCTGCAGCAGATTATGTTTATCCAATTTCACGTTGACTTTATGGGGAGCATGAAGTTTAATCGTCTGTAAAGACAATTTTTGGTGGCAAAATGCAGATCATCTCTAACCTTTCTCAAGGTTATGGTGCATGTGATAAAACAAAGCTAAAGAATTCCAGGGTACAAGATACTAAAATGTGACTGACCTTGCAAAAATCCAAGCAATCTCATAGCGCTCCAGAAAGTGAGTGATTTCTTCTCATAGCATGACGAGAGTCTCTTTCTTCATGTTTGGGTCAGCATGAATCTCGCTATAGGCACTTGTGTGAGATCAGAGTCTTTTGAATAGCAGCATCACACACGTGTCCCCTGTGCCTCTTCATGCTCCCATACAAAGTCCTACAGGCCAGGGCAGCTGCAACACTCCCTCAGTTCCCTCTTACTGCCCAGGGTAGCAAGATGGAACCTAACAAGTGTCTGATCTGGTAGTTCTTAGCTCCAGTTAAGTTCTCAAAATTCTTCACAAATCTTCAGACTGCTTTGTATGTACTGATATAGGATCTCTGTGAACACTGTGGACCCATCAGGATTGAGTACTGACTGCCAGACACTTCTGTGGGTGTGTCTAAACTACACTCCTCTGTCGGCAGAAGGATATAAATTAGACCTATCGAAAGCACAAATGAAGCGGGGATTTAAATATCCTGCACTTCATTTGCATAATGGCAGCCGCTGCTTTTTTTCAAAATGGGGCTTTTTGAAAAAAACAGCCGTTTAGACTGGGCATTTTCGACAGAAATGCCCCTTTTCGAAAATCCTGTACTCCTCAAAAAATGAGGAGTACAGGATCTTTTGAAATGGGGCATTTCTGTCGAAAATGCACCATCTAAACTGCTGTTTTTTTCCAAAAAGCCCCATTTTGAAAAAAAGCAGCGGCTGCCATTATGCAAATGAAGTGCAGGATATTTAAATCCCAGCTTCATTTGCACTTTCGATGTGTCTAATTTGCATCCCTCTGCCGACAGAGGGGTGTAGTTTAGACACCCCCATAATGCTCCCTTGTTGCACAAGGATTCTCAACATAGTGGATTTGAAACCTGTGGGCTCCAAGCTTGCCTATTCTGTGAAGGACTAATTCCTTTGAAAGATAGACATAGTAGGTGCCTCTTCTATTTAGGAGCATCACAAAAACTGAGTAGATGTTCTGTGTCTGTCTTTGACAAGAATGTGTAAGTCACATGGGATGGGATTGAAACGTCATCTCCTGGAGCAATCTATGAAGGCCTCTTCAGATCTGGAGGAGATGGCACAAAAGTCCGGATAGCAAACAAACAGACGTCGTCTAGCAGACAGACAGTTCCAAAGACTAGTGCAGAGAAGGTGGCACCAAGAAAAGACTTGACATCAGTACAAATGCCCTGGCACTGAATCAGATTTCACCAGTGTTGCAGAGGTTGGCACTCAGGAGACACTGATACCTCTGGTACTGAAGTCCAGCACCAAGAGGGGCCGCTCTAGAGTAGAGAAGACACTCCACATAGACCTCAGAGCTTTCAGTTAAGGCTAGACCATGAAAAGTTTCTGGAGACAAAGCCATGAACCCCTGCCCAGCTCTGAGGATTGAGGTGGTGGAGCAGCCTGTGGCACGGAGAGAGACTCCTCCAGCACCAACTCAAGGTTAGGGATCACACGTGTCAGCAATGATTCTGTAGCAGATGAGCCTCTGGATGAGCCAGGTCTGTAACCAATATCGAGGCACCTGCGGGTACCAATACAGACCTTGATTCTGAGAGCAAACCTTAAGTAAATCTGTAACGTAATTTGGGAGTTTCACTTAAATCAATTAACTGGACATTTTTCCTCCTGAAGATGTGTTTGGATTTTTCCAGAGCATTTGCTCTGTTACATTGATAAGACTAAGCCTTTCAGATGCTCTCTTCCTCTTCATGACTGTAGCTGGCTTGTCAAAAGGCTCTTTTAAGTGGATTCCACTCTGCAAGTCTACCTGTTATCAACGTCACTAGTGAACCTCTCACTTCAGTTGTCTGTGTCATCAGCCTGCCTCAGAAATGTGCTTGAACATGAAGTCTGGAAAGCAGTGATGTGGAGCAACCCTCTGGCTTTCATTAAAGACAATGCCCTTTACATGACAGCTCGGTCTGGTGCCAAGTTTGGGGGAGCAGTACTTCTTTTTACTAATGCAGCTGTTGCTTCTTGCTCCCACCATTGATGGGAAGTCCAGATTGCCAGTCCCTGCTCACATGGGCTTTAAATTGTGAGGGAACTGAGGAAGGGTTGTGGACTACTCTGCCTGCTCTTGTTTCTGGTGTGAGAGCGTAGGAGACTTGGGCTGCATGTCGTTGCTGTTGAAAAGACTCCTCAGACGTTGCTGTTGAAAAGACTCAGATCTCATATGTGTACAGGGGGTTCACACAGACAACCCCATCTCAAAGAATCAGAGTCACCGTTCCTGATCTAATCTCAGGAGCATTATTGGTTAATCAGGTGGTACGCTCCCACAACAGGAATAATACGTAATGAAAACCTTAAAGGGGCTTGAGAGCTTTGGAGAGAGGAGGACAATCTGGCAGCTCCCAAAATAAAGGGCAAGAGACCATCTAGCACCTTTGCATCAGTTAGTTCCACCTGAGGCCAGCATAAAGGTGGATGATGCAGAGATTTGTACGTTCACACATCTTTCAATTTAAATCCCTCTGCAGTCACAAATAAGAAGAGCAACTCACCCAAAGCTACTCGCTCTGGAGCAGCAGGAAGCTTGTCTCTTCGAAGAGCAATGGACTGCGGGGACAGTAATCTTTGCGCAAAGGGAGATGGTCAGACTTCCTCTGAAGGTAAATGTGGGATGGCTTTAAAAGTGCTTTGGACTGCATCAGGGGGAAAAGCTTTTTAAAAGCATATCCTTGCTCAGAGAAGTTCATGGCTTCGATGAAACTCTGTACATAAACCTGGTACTATTTTCCCCTAAACATGATTAACATTATTACACCAATACAGACCTTTGGGAACCTATTAGATTGTCTTATTGAGCCTTTGTGTCCAGCATCCATGCTTGATGTTCCTGAGACTTCCATTTTCCAACAGTAATGTGCCCATCTTTCTTAAATAGGTTCAAGACCCTAAGTTGGTGTTCGTAGTACAAGTGTGCTTGTATATCCCTAGCCCAAAATGTACAGCTTTCACCATTGCTCCCCCCGAGGTGCTGCACTAGTATAGAGAAACACCTCTGTGTTTTCTCTGTGTAGTCCAGCGACACCAACACATCTATCCCAATTCTAAAAACATTCTTATTTCTCTGTGTTAGCACACCTGTGGAATAGCTGATATGTGGGAAACTAATTTTCATAGTACGCACAAATCCAAAAGATTGATCTATACTGCAAAATCTTGTAAGTGCTTTTCTGAACCTGGGCTACCAGAAGTAGAAGCTGTAGGTGAGACACGATGTACGTTTCTGTAAAGTGCACATTAAGTGATCCTAATGACAAACTCTCTCAGATGGTGACTTGAAAATCTGAAATGTTTTGTAACTGCCAATTAGCTTCACCTTTTCTCTTCTTAGGCGGCATCGGAAACTCTAAGTCTGGCAATAGGCATGGCTCTCCCAGACCCCTGACTAACACTAATGCTCCTGAGGCATTGCCTAAGCCAGAGGAAAGAGAGTGTGAAGGCTCAGATTCTGATGCGGGCATTTCTGCTGTTAATGGCTTAACTACTGCGGAGAAGACAAGAAAAGCTGTCTCTCAGGGGTAAGTACTTTTCTCGCTAAATTATAAATGGAACATTTAAAACTGTTCAAATCAAGCCTTTTATGTATCAAAGAATGGAAATTACTTTGAAGTCATTCACATTTTTCTGCTGCTCTCTTTGGGCTTCCAGCTTTGGCCCATACATGAGTTGTATGTCCTCATTTTTCTATTTTAAAGCACTTTTGGCGGTCATAAAAGCTCAGGTTAATACTGAAACATCAGTGGTCATAGTCTGCCCAGATAGATTCACCCATTTGCAAGTCAGACTTCTGTCCGTTTTCCTAGTTTTTCCTACTTTAATATCCTGTCCAACTGGATTTTACATTATTTCCTTATATAGGATATTTCACAAGAGATGGATTCTTAATTTTTTCCCTCACTTCTCGCTTCCTCAGATCTCGCATTACCCTCTTATCAATAAACTAGGGAAATACAACCTAGATGGGGCTACTATAAGGTGGGTAACTGACTGGATAACCATTGTTAGAGAGTAGTTATTAACGGTTCACAATCCTGCTGGAAGGGCATAACAAGTGGGGCTCTGGAGCGGTCTGTTTTGGGACCGGTTCTGTTCAATATCTTAATCAGTGATTTAGATGATGGCATAGAGAGTACACTTATAAAGTTTGCAGATGATACTGAGCTGAGAGGGGGGGTTGCAAGTGCTTTGGCGGCTAGGGTCATAATTCAAAACGATCTGGACAAGCTAGAGAAATGGTCGGAGGTAAATAGGTTGAAGTTCAATAAAGACAAATGCAAAGTACTCCACTTAGGAAGGAACAATCAGTTTCACACATACAGAATGGGAAGCGACTATCTAGGAAGCAGTACTGCAGAAAGGGATCTCGGGGTCTTAGTGGACAACAAGCTAAATATGAGTCAGCTGTGTGACACTGTTGCAAAAAAAGCCAACATGATTCTGGATGCATTAACAGGAGTGTTATGAAAAAGACACGAGAGGCCATTCTTCTGCTCTACTCCGATTAGGCCTCAGTTGGAGTATTGTGTCCAGTTTTGGGCACCGCATTTCAAGAAAGATGTGGAGAAATTGGAGAAGGTCTGGAGAAGAGCAACAAGAATGATTAAAGATCTAGAGAACATGAGCTAGGAGAGAAGACAAAGAATTGGGTTTGTTAATTTGGAAAGAGAAGACTGAGAGGGGACATGATAGCGGTTTTCAAGTACCTAAAAGGGTGTTACAAGAAGGAGGGAGAAAAATTGTTCTCCTTGGCCTCTGAGGATAGGACAAGAAGCAATGAGCTTAAACTGCAGCAAAGGAGGTTCAAAGTTGGAAATTTTCAGATGCACACGAGAAGCTCTCCTGCAGCTATATTGCGTGCAGCACTAGGAGGAGAAGCTGCCCCATGGTTGGACTTACAGGAAACCCCGGCCTTACGATGGCTTGAGTTGCGACCCCTTACACTTACGACCATTTTTGTAAGTGCAGAAGGGGCTGAAACCCCGACTTACATCCTTGGCCCGCATTTACGATAGTGCCTGTCGTAAATGCGGGTTCGATTTACAACACCCCTAACTTGCAACACAATCGGTTCCTGGAGAAGCTTCGCAAGTTGGGGGCTGCCTGTACTGTTCTAGATCAGCGATGGGCAGCCTAGACTAGTGAGTGGGCCACATGCATGTCCCTCTCTCATCTCAGTGGGCTGCAAGATTGTCATAGCCAAAACAGTCTCGCTGGACAGGGTAGTTTTGTTAACTGCATTTGGGTATGTAGAACAGGTAAGAAGTATCATTTGAACTGTAGCAGCACTCTGGGATGCACATATCTCACAGTTAATATTGCATGAAATCAGCATGCAGTTTGCTTCACATGCCCTTGCTTTATGTGCGTGTCACTTTAATAATATCAGTAGGAAAAAAACTAGGCAGATAGAAACGAGCAGTCTCTGGCAACCCTGTGCATGGGCAACAGTAAATAAAATGTTTCATGGACCACACATAGAACACTGATGGGCTGTATATGGCCCACAGGTCACCCACCACTGCTCTAGGTACCAATGCTGTTTTTTCCCCCTCCTGCTCCATTTTAAGGTCAAATTCTAAAGGATGTCGTACAGAAGGATCACAACTAACTGATCTAGAGAACAGCTCAGAAACTGGGGAACTACAGGCTATTCTCTCTGAAGGCACCTCAGCAGGACAAGAGGAAGGTAAAGGCAAGATTAAAGAAAATAAATCCTCAAATACTGTAGTGACACTTGAAAATAGGGTTAGTTATCAAGGCCCAGATTTCTTGGTCAAGGTCCAGATACCAGAGAAAATAATGTAAGTCAATAAAAAAGATTTCTGGTTCTGTTCAAAATCATCTAACAGTCTGGGTTTGGCCCGCAGTTTGCCTGCTGATTTACCCCTGCTTTAAAACAAGAGTTTTTCTATAAACTGTGTACAAAAATCTGTCTACTTGGAGGGTTGCACTTGTGTTGCAATATTTGATAGCAACATTATGAATCCCAAATAAAAGGATAACTGCTCGTGTATGACAGAGGCATGATGGAATTCAGAGAGCACAGAGAAACTTTCAAGGACCTGTTGCTTAAAGTTTATATTTCTAGTTTATTTTTTTTATTTCTGGTTTCCTGTTTTCATCTTAAGACTTAACTTTAGAGATGAGGTTTGAAAAATTAGAAATTTAAAAGATGAGATTTCACACATGTTCCTACAAAAATCCAGTGAAACCTCAGTAGATATAGGGTTTATTGCCAGGGTAAGTCTGGTAGTAATTGGGACCATGTCTGCACTGGACACCTCTGAAGTCTAGTTTAAATTGGGTTTTGTGATATGCAAGGTCGACTACTTCCTTGGAAAGTCAGGAGAAATGTTGCAGCCTTGTTTCCATCCTGGAGAAAATACTGTTGACTTTCTTATTGATATTCTATGCAGAAGTGTTTTTCATATCTTGCTAAAACTCTGCTGCCTTCCACCCCTGCACTAATTTGAATTTCAATGACTGATGAATTGTAGCTCAAAGCCTATATTAAGGTGCCAGCATCCATCTCTATCTGCAGTGTGCAATATTGTGTAGGTGTTGGCATTTACAGAAGGTCTCTCAGTGACATAAGACTGAATTTCTTCTCTTAGTCACTGCAGCGTGATCATGATGTGTTCCTGCAGCTCTCTTCGTAGAGGAGGAAGCAATAATAGGAAAATGCTTTTTTTAACATCAAATATTTCATTGTTAAAACCCCAGGAAACAAATATTACAATTTATTTCCTTTCAGAGAGGGAAATATTGCAGTAGCAAAGCACCCCTCCCCCCCTTTTTTTTTTCAGGGAGCTCTGATTAGCTGAGTATTTTGAGAACTCACTCTTTCTTTGGGAGCATGTTTCACACACACAAGCAAACCTAGTTTCTCCATCTGACTTCATCTCAAGTCAGCATGTGGTGCTTGTGCATTTATACTGTTGTAATTCCAGAATGGTTTGAGAGAAAAGGAATGGCTGAAGGATTCATGTTTCCATTTTTCTTTCTTAGCTCTGCTCAAAGATGACAGTGCCTAGAATTTCACAATATAGCATCAAAGCTTTATCATGCCATTTTAATACCCCTGTCAGACCTTGGGTAAGGCGGTTGGAAGAGCACCTGGAATTGCTGTTTTCTCAGAACCATGTGCATTAAATGTTGTGATAAGATCTTTTGATAAAGGGATTTGGGCAGGGGGTGAACTTATATCAAGAGTTGTGGAATTCTTACTACCTCATTTATTTTGACCTGATTTATGGTCAACGAGTGGGAACATCTTTGCTTTGAGGGGCTGCACTGCAAAACCATTGACAGCTACTCAGTCGATCAGCTGATAATTAACCAGGCCAGATGCTATAATATCTGTGTGAATGCCTCCTGTTTGGGTGAAAGAGGCAGCTTCATTTGAGAGTAGAGTGGGATATATTTTTTAGGAAAATCATGTTGAGAGAGACCTGTGAATAAGAAAGTTAGCCTGATGGAAATATGCTGCTGCGTGGAGGAGTTGGCCTGTAAATCTGCTTAAAAGGCCATGATATGTCTTAAGACTATTAAAAAGATATTCTGACATTGGTTCATTTACATGGTAATCTGTTGGAGAATTGGTAAGAGTGGATGGCTGCTAGCTGAGGAAAAGCAGCTGAAACAGGAAGGAGAGGCAGATATAGAAGCTTACACTTACATTATTTAGCTGAATTTTTATAAGATTGTGCCTTTGAATTAAGTCTCCATTGACTGAAAACAGAATGAGAACTTAATTAAAACACTTCCCCTAATATGTTCTGCTCTTGGTCCCACGGGACTTTGGTTAAATACGTTTAGCTCTGAATGTACACACTGCTCAGTTTCTCTTGTTCTCCTGACACCCCCGAGAAGTTGACATTGGGAAGAAAGAAAGGAAGCTGAGAACTTTGTGGATACAGGAATCTTATTGCTGTAAGTGGTTCTTTGCTCTCTGCAGGTGGGCTGTGTCAGAAGCACGTCCTTCACCTCCTGCCGGGCATGAGCAGTGAAAGTGACATTGAATGCGATACAGAAAATGAAGAGCAGGAGGATGCCATATCCACCTCAGATGTGTTTAATCATGCCTTCGATGTCCAGCCCTCAAGTGAAGGTAGAACACTGTTACGTTGAGCAATCAGAGGGCACCTTTCCAAATGCTTCTCCAACAGGGGTCTTAGCTCTTGTGAAGGAAGGACATTATTTGGGGCCAAGTTACTGCCAAACTTGTTCAAATGTTAGTGCCAAGTGAAGGCATCCAAATATTATCAGTCGTTGTTTGAAATCTCATTTTAAAGAGCTAAAGAAAGAGGGAGTGACATTTTCCTAACACTGAGACCTCAGACAGGACTAAGCTCTGAGCTGCCCCAGTAGTAGTAGAAGTCGCCTTGCTTGCATTATTTCAAAGTGAGCTTGATTAAGCACCAAAGGATAGACTAAATGACCTAACAGGTTTCTTTCATCTCTAATTTGACCCCGTCTAAGGTTGAAAGCCACAGCACAAATGTGAGATCATGGGTATGGTGTAGCATGCAGAGAGCATCTGCTGAGGACTGCAGGTCCTATGGTCACTGCAGAGCTGTAGTACCAGAGGGAGTTGGAAGAGGCATGGATGGAGCCTGTGGCTTCAGATTCACCATCCCTGTTGCTACTTTGGAGAGTATAGTAGCAGCCAGCATGTAGGCTGTAGGAAGGACACTCCATGTAAAATCTGACTTGCTTGGACAGGATTTGTCTCCAGTTATGTAAATTCTCCATTTTCATGTAGAAAGTAATAGTAAATAAGCTAGTGGTAAACAAAGTGTCCCCTAGTAATGAGTTTGTATCTTAATTGACGGTAAATTGCCTTTGAATACTTCAGCTCAGTTTTGTGAAAATGTACAAAATTTCTTCAAGGGTACTTGTAAAACAGTTTCATGATTGCTAAATGTAAATACGTTTGGGTAATGATTTGGAATAAATGCCAACGATGAGATCAATATCTTATTTTGAATTAGTAGTTTACTGCAGAACATTGAATGTTATAATGCTAAGTCATAGCACAATTGAAACCACCACCAATTTTTACTCAACCATCATAGTTTTAAAATTGTGGAGCAGACTAATTCAGAGCAAAGGTTTCAACTTTGTATCTCTCTCTCCACATGTTAAGAATGGAATCTTAAACTCTCAAAGAACTGCTGATTAAAAATCTCTAATGAGATTAGATCTATAAATTTAACAGGTTTGGGGGCTTTGTCTTTAAGGGTACTGTATCATTGTTTTTCAGTTCTAGAGCTGTGTTCAGTATTTTCTGAAGGTGATCATATAGGCCCTGAAGACCTCAACTTCGGTAACGGAGAGGAAAACACAAGGTAATTGCTAAATTAAGAGCATTGACTTAATAGCAGTTAATTTGACCCAAGTCTTACTGTAATCTGGTTTAATATTTCTTGACTCAGCAAAAATTTATCTGTATTTGATCTCTGTGCTGACACCCTCACCTGAAATACTCAAATATGATGCAATTTGCTCCCTGTAGTGCTCATTTACATGAAGGATATGAAGATGGAAGGGTGTTATGTAACAACTAATATAATAAAACTTGTAAATACGTCCCACTTTCCTATCGCTGCTGAAAGTAGATGAGATCCTGCTCCATTTCCTTAATTTACTTAAATTGTCAAGACCTGGTAACTAATTTACTTTGTCCTTAATGCAATTGCTAGAGGTTATATAGCATCAAGGCAGGACTGACTGCACCCTCTCCATCTCCTTTTCTGGTTGTTAATTTAGTATTTATGTACTTATATTGGGAATTGTTAGATTTAAGCACCTGAAATCCCTACTAAGCCACTTAATTTATAATAGTAGTAGCACTATTAACTTTTAATGACTGAGATTGCATCTGTCTCTCTTGGACTAGGTAGAGCCAGGTTTGTTGACTGCAGAAGACTTTGAAGAGTTGGATTAACACTAGCCTGCTTGTGTCCCTGAGAAGAGGCACACTTCATAATGCTGATTTAGTCCATCTATTTTTCTGGTAGGATGTGCACGCACTCCATTGTGCTGAATATAAAATATTATGTGGCTCTTCCATGGCTTTCAAAAACCTGTCAATAGGGCAAGTTGCCCTATGAAGAACCTTAGCAAGACTGTATTCTTCATGGCTTTGGCAGGTTCAAATGCAGATTCTGAACAAAAGTGCTAGGTCCTTGTTCTCATTTGTCTCATTATACGATTGATATAGCAGAGAAGGTGGAAGAATATCTTTCCCTTTTTATGAATAATGGTATGAAAGTGATGTTTTGTATAGCAATAAGCTATTTAGTTAGGGTAAGTGGCCTGCACAAGAGTTAGTTTGTATTTTCCTTCAGTCTCTAATTTGGACCAACTGAGAAGATTGGTTGTTGCCAAACTTTTTACCACTGTGCATTGCATTTGAGCAGCTAAAATGTTGTGTGAAGCTACAATGAAAGCTGAGTAACTGGCAGGTGAAAGCATGAATAAGTGTATAAATGTTGTCTCATCTGACTCTACTTGCTGAAACATTCATTTTGTATGTGATCTTCCCCAGTGTTTGAGTGCATACAAATCATAATTTAGTTTAAAACTGTTTGCACTTTTTGTTAATAAAATGAACATTTGAAATACCGTGTGAGATTATTTTGTAGGGGCAGATATAATTGCAGATGCCAGTGCAAGAGAAATATGCCTGTGTTAAGTTCGTGTTCAGGCGTGGTTGGTTTTTTTAAACCTACATCCTCCTGGTGCTGAACCAATATGTCCAGGCCATGCTATGCTCCAGATAAAATGCCATGTGATTTTCACAACCAACAGTCCTTAGACACGCCATGAATCAAATACCCACCCTCCATTCCTTAAATTCCACTTTTCAGGCTGTGCTGTAATCATTTTCTTGAGCTTTACTTTAGTGTATTATCAGTTGTGTATCCGTGTTCTAGGCTGGCTTAAATACAATACACAGATAATAGACTGTATGATATGGAGAGAAGCATTCTGTTGAATGTTAGCCTTAGTTCAGAGGTGGGCAATAATTTGATAAATGGTCAAGGGCTGCATTTTTATATGGAGGAGACACGGGTTGTGGGATGGAGGCTGGGCACAGAAGGGAACTTGGGCTAGGGAATGAAGGTGCAGGAGAGTATTCTGCCTCATGGGAGGGATGTAGGAGCAGGTGCAGGGTTTGGTGGCCTGGAACAGAGATTTGGGGTGCAGGAGGAGATGGGGTCCCAGGGACAGGCTGTGGCTAGAAGGTGATTACCTAGGTGGCTCCTGGCCAGCAGCCCAGTGGGACCCTCAGGCAGGCTCTCTGCCTGCCAGCAGCCCCATACCACTCAAATTAGCTGACTGCTTCATGTGGCTCTCTGCTGCCATGTGCTAAGAGTGAAAGGGTGAGGGAGGAGGCTTCTGGCCAATAGGAGCTAAGAGACTGTGCTGGGGATAGAGGCAGTACATAAAGCCTCCTCCCTTCCACTCCATCCCCACCCTGCGTGGTACAGGAAGCCACAAGAAGCAGCCAGCCACTCTGAGGGGTGTGCAACTACTCCATGCCTGAGGATCATGGCAGGGCAAGCCACGGCCAGATTAAAAAACTTAGATCCAGCCCATGGGCCATATCTTGTCTGTCCCTGCCTTAGCGTAAGTGCTTTTAAATTCATGTTACGGTGTATTTGATTTATCTCTTTCACTGGTTTTGCTGTAAATTGCTTCCCATCCTAGCGTGCTCCAAGCGGATTAAGGCACGTGAGAGTGGAGGTGATAAAGTGTCTCAGGTAGGTCTTCAGTTATTCCAGTATTTCAGAAGCCCATAAACTTTGTTCTCTGTGTTCTACTAATGTCAGTTTTCTCCTAGTTTAACAGCTATTGTGTTGCTGCTTTTATGGATCCAAACCATTGGATCTGTATTCCTGTGCTTATGTGTCAAAGAGCTGAAGCCCTTGTGAACATCTCCCAAGTCCTGAACCCCTTTTCCTGCTTGATAATTTAGAAATGAGAAGCAGCCGATTATTATAAAATATAGCATTTAGGGCAACCTTTCGACTAGATTCTAGAAGATCTTTGAGAAAGGAGTCCTGGGGAGCAAAGTGTATAGTATTCTGAAATTAATTCAATAGCATAGAGTGTGAGGGACTGCTGGTGTGTATTAGTTGAAGTGTGATGACAGCTTAGGAAAGAAATCCTCCAACAGCTAATGTACCAATCTCAGCAACTGCTGCCAGGTCTGGAGGCCATTACAGAAGCACCCCACTGTCCCTCAACAGCCAAAGTTCTGAGAATTTTTTATACTGCTGCTTCAAGGACTAAGTAACACTAACAGCAATGTTTAAAAATGCAAGCTTGAAGTAGACAACTGTTATGCTTCTATTAATGGGCTATTGCTGAAAATGGCACAAACAGTTAAAACTAACACTCATTCCAGTCTTCATTATGACAGAGAAGGGAACATCCAATTGTAGCTCCCCATGACATGTAAGAAGATACCACTTGGAGCTACAACCTGCTCCTAATTTTGCTTAAATTGTAGCACACTGGTCATGTGACTCTGCTAGCTTGTCTGTATGGCACTCAGATGCGTTAGTGGTAGGTAAAGTAGTTTAGGATTCAAATTGATGGCCTCGATTTAGGGTTAAACAGTAAAATCCTACTAGATTACTGTACAGAAGCATCTTAGCACAAGTGAGTTTGCTATTGAATTTGCCTTTAAATAAATAAACCATTGAAAAATGTTTTAAATTGTTTTATTAATATATTGATGAAATTTCAACATAGTCCTTATCTGTAAACACAAATAAAATATGGATGACTATTACATAGATTACAACTGACCTCATGAGCTGTAGAACAAGGTTGAAATGGAAATATCCCAACACTGTAGCATAAAAATGGTTTAACTTACTCACTTCATAAAGAACATTAGAACACAAGTATCATTTAACAGAAGCACCCAGTGTAGGAGCTGACAACACACTTGGGCTATGTCTACACTCGCAGCTTCTTACGCAAGGGTTCTTGTGCAAGAAAAAGTCCACACTGCCATGTGTGCGCTGTGCTTTTGCACAAGAGCTCCCATGGCAGTGTGGACGCTCTCTTGTGCAAGAAAGCCCCGACGGCCATTTTAGCCATAGGGCTTTCTTGCGCAAGAAATCCCTGCCGAGCGTCCACACTGCCCTCTTGCGCAAGAGCTCCTGTGCAAGAGGGGTTACACTAGTTAAAAAAGAGTGTAGCTCTTGCACAAGAAGCCCTCTCTTATGACGCTATACTGTAAATTTCCTTGCACAAGAGCGGGCGGGCAGTGTAGACACTCTGCGTATTCTTGCGCAAGAAGCCGCAAGTGTAGACATAGCCTTGGAGTTCTAAAACCAAGTTACTACTTTGAGAAGGCAGGATAAATCTCTGCCCATCTTCCGTATTCCTGTTTACCTTCAAATTAGGAGAAATTGAAAGAAATGCCTCAAAGAAAGATGCAAGTAAAACAAGAAAAATGCAATCATCGTGTAAATACTTGGATGCAATCATTGTAGGGGAATTTTCTCTGATTTAAGTTTTAATGCTGGCAGCTACAGTGCTTTAAGCCTGATTAACAATGACTGGAAAAGGACATGAACATTTATGTTAGAGGTTGTATTTATGTTTCACTATTTATTGCATGCTGGAAAGGTAGAACATTTTATTTGCTGTTGCAGAGTTATGATCCAAAGAAAGATTGTCCTAAATTATAGGCATGAACAAAGCTGTAGTATCCCCTTTAATGGCTTTTTCTTTGTGACTAGTGTTGAATGAGTGAATACACGGTGCTAAAACCACCACTAATTTAGATCAATCTTTCTCAGTGCTACAGCAGGACACCGCTAGAGTAGGAATTACTAGGTGGCAAGGTAGAATAGTTTAGTGAATTTGAACTACAGCAGTCATATCTGTAAACACTGAATTTCTTGTGTCTCATGTTTCTCTGTCCATAACACAATGCATTTTTCACTGACAGTGTTCCAAAAATGGAGCAGTTTCTCACAAAATACCACTATAAATGTGGTATAAGTTAAAATCTGCTTTGACATTGTCCTTAAATGTTGTACTGCAAACTAAACTAAATAGTGAATTTATTTTAACTTGCAAAGGACAATAGATGGCACTTTTAGGTAAATAAAAGTTATTTACATGTTTCCACCCACCTTTAGTGCAAATTGAAATGGGTTAACAGCTCCCTGGTCTGGTGCTATACTGCTCTCTGCAACAGCAGACATTCCTCAGAGTTGCACATTTAAAAAGTGTACACTGGAAACTATTAGAGGAGGGATTACATGAATCCCTTTAAAACTCACAGTGAATAGCATACCAGTGAGTTCTGAACAGCCTCAGACAAAAAGCCTGAAGTCCATTTCTCAAAACCAACACAATTATTTTTTATATTCACTACCTACCTTTTGTTTCCTGCAAAGGATGTTTAATAGGTAAACTGAAACTGATGAGATTGTGTTAACTTGAAAAAGGGATACTTCAGCTCTTTATTGGAAAGGTTATACAAATGTCACCACTAAGATACACAATAAAATTACAAAACACACATCACAGACAATCTTAGAATTAACAGTTAATAAATACATTATATAGATACTTTTATATTTCTTTCTCTTTTTACATTATCACCAGATAGACGATCAAAGTACAAGATACGGAACATTTAAATACTATTAATTAGAGGGGAACTTATTGCTTACGTTAGCAAGCAGCAAATAAGGGCACAGGATTTTGAACTGAAGAGAACTACTTCCTATTCACTAGTGGCATTAAGAGAAAACATTGCATTTCACAAAGCACTGCTTTTTTGTCTAGTGTGTAGAATCAAGAGCAGCATATATCAGACCAATAACCACTACTTTTATATGTATTATAGCATTTTAAAAGACTTACCTTACAAATGGTTCCTATCTACTCTAAATGTATATAGTGAAGAAATGAACACTTGCTATATTTATACAATATTTGCACCGGACCACACAGGAACTATGATGGCAATTTCCCTCCTAAATGGTCTGAGAAGCAGAAATGATCATTTATGAACACACACCTAAAGAACTACACCCTTGACAAGAGAGCATACACTCAGTCCAGTACTTTTCAGCCAGTTGTGCACACTGGGAAGTTCTATCATCCATCATTTTTATCGTGACATATTTAGTGAGACAAGAAATTGCACTTACATCACCTTCCTGTAAAAGTACAACTATCAAACAGAAGAGACTTTCAATACATTTTCTATATTAATGTGAAAAGTTTAAATAATTAAAAGGCAACAGCAAGATGCCCAAAATTGCATACTTTACTATTTAGTGGTTTTAAAAAAATTTCCTTAGTAAATCTGATTAAAAACATACATCACATCTGAAGAGAATGTTAACATCTAAGGCTTTATAAGATGACAGATGTAAGATCCAGAAGTTCCTTAATTATATTTATAGCTTAAAGAAACTGCAAAATAATTAAAGGAATCTAAACCACATTTCAGCTCCTGTTTGCTTACAGCTTTTCATTATTTTATCAATGATTTTCAAAAGACTGACAAAGAGCAAACTGAGATGAGTAAAGTTCAAGTCTTATGCTTTCAAATAATTTAGGAGACTCTCTAGACTGCTTAACATGTAAATATTTTAACAAGTTCTAGTTAACTGTAAGGCTGATTTTTAAAGTGATGCTGCTAAAATTAAATGTCATTGGAGAAATGCATTTTATATTCATACCAGTGCTAAATGACTATTCTCATACTTAGTTATTGTAGCAAATAACAGTGGCAGGATACCTAATATTTTGTGTGACACACTCAACTGGAACAGTTTTGGATTACTTTTGTGTTCTAATTAACTGTTCCTTTAAGAGTAAAACATCACTTCAAGGACAGGTTAGGTTTTTTTTTTTTTTTTTTTTTTTTTTTAATAATGCTTTGCTCACTGGGATAAAAAAAACAAATGAGCAACCCACATTTTTCATCTTTCTAAATTCACTGGAGCAGAGCCCTGGATTGTCAGTGCGTTTTATGATCTCAGCTAAACAAAGCAACCACCCTCATTCATCTACATCCACAGCATTTCCAGTCACTCAGGGTTACAACAGCAGTCTCATCCATTCTCTGAATCTATTGGCAGTAGCAAGAATTCGGTAGCAGAGTCACACTCATTCCAGCATTTTATCATCCCTAAAAACTTCCACTTTAAAGTATGCCCTTGTAGTCTAGAAACTAACCTGGTCAAACTGGTGGTTATTCTTAGCAAGTAGTTCTATGGTTTGATCAGGTTTGTGACAGCATATTGTACCTGGACATCATCTCAACAGACTCTGTTTCTTTCAACACCTGAGATGAAGGTGTGATGATAGGAGGTTGGCTCATAGCTATTAACCATAGTCTTGTTAGATTAAAGCCAGTTGACAACAGCCTCCTATCTGACAAATAATAAAAATACCACTAGAAGCACCAAAAAGTTGTGAAATCCCCATATACTGCATCTCTAGCCAGAGGGAATAATTTTAAAAAAAATACACTTTCATATTCCACATTTTATGTTATAGGAAATAATAGCTAAATTAATTCTATGAATCCTAATCTGAGTCCTATCACAGAGTTGATTTTACAGAATGAGTCTCTCCATTCATAAATTACCTGTTAATACCCTGTATGGCTTTTAGTCTTTTACCTGCAAAGTGGATGATTTTCTAGAGATTTCTCTCAATATTAGTCTGAATAAACAAAGGAAAGTAAGAAAAAAAAACTCCACCTGGACTTCTATGGAATCTATCCCCCCACCCTTTACAAAATTTAGCAATCTAAAACAGGATAGTTTTCTGAAAATATTGCTCCATAGACATACGACAGGCAGGTTCAGCTTTTTATTTTAAGCTGCATTTTAACTGTTTCTAACTGTGTCTATTCTCCTGAGCCAACTAACCAGCTTGTCTAGTGAGTGAGAGTATAGCGACTTACATGAATGTGTTTGTGTGGATGTACTTAGAGTGGCACCACAACCAGTTTTATTGTGACAATTTTTTTTAACTTCTTGTACTATTTACATCTGAGCTGAGTTTGATGGGGAACCATAATAGTTCTGAAATGCTTACCTTTTGATTTTTTGATGCCATTTCTAAACTAGTCTGAAGGGGGGCGTACAAGGAGGATGGTTATATTTTGCATCGCTGATAGAGGTGTGGATCTGGTGCACAATTACTCTGTCTTAGATTCAAGAGCATATTCTCACCATGACCTCTAAAACTATTCATCCTCCACCACAGAGAACTTCTTACCGACATCCTAGTTTTACTGCCACTTCGGACAGGTAAGGATGGACCTAATCCTTCCATAGGGGAAGGTTTGTGAGCAAAGAGATGTGTGTGAAACTTTGGTTTGAGCCTGGCTCCACGTAGCCTCTTAGCATTATAGAAGTAGATGTTAGAGAAAGCAGAGGCTCTTTTCCCCAAAGATCTGAACTGTTTCTCTTCCAATCCAGAAAAGAGAGGAGATAAACCATCCATTCTGTAAATGTGCTGCCCTGTGGAACTCAGAGAAGCAGAATATCCCCTTGGAGCTGTCTGTCCAGACACTGAAGATGCAGTGCTTTTTAGAGATTCATTCTTTGCTGTTAAGCCATTAACCAAGCTCACTCCCTTTGGTAGGCCAGGACTAAACACTTGAATTGGTATCAAATGTTTGACATTTTGAGATTGGCTTGCTTCTGTTTTCCTCAGGTCTAAATAGCCTTGGTTTTCAAACAGGTTAATGTTGGACCCTATGCTTAAGCTAGTTCTATCAGTGAAGGAATCCACTCGCCCATCATACCCTAGATCTGCAGGTGCTGAGCACTGATGTTGAGGCCACGGCCGTTTGCAGTCTCCATGGTTTTCTTTATCTTCCCCGTTATCATCTTGTCCTCCTTGAAAAGAGTTCTCCATCCACTCTGATTCCTCACTCACATTGACTGCTGTATTCATGTCCCTGAGAAATACCACAATGACTGTGATGTTGTCACTCGAGCCAGCATCTCGTGCCGATGCCACTAATTTGTGCGCCACCATGCTGCTATCCCCATTATTCTCCTTCAGGTGGTCAGCCACCACCTTCACTGCCTCATCAGGATTTACTGTGTCGTAGAAGCCATCGCAGGCTAAAATGAGGTAGTCTTCAGACCCATCCAGTACGGTGGAGGCGGAGTCTGCATCTCCACAGATATATGGCTTGTGCTCCGCATCCCCTGGAGAAATTGAAAGCAAAGATATTTTAAAGCTCAGATTTTTGACAGGCATGCTGAGTGACAGGTGCCCTGCTGGAAGCCTTTTATTCATTGTTTCAGA